TTTGTGTATAGGAATGCTATCGATTTCTGGGTGTTGACTTTGTATCCAGCTACACTGCTGAATTTGTTGATTAATTCAAGGAGTCTTCTTGTGGAGTTTTCACTCAGCTGAATGTTAATGTTAGTTATGACTCTTTCTATGCCTTAGGTTTTCTCTGTAAAACACAAATGATAATAGTACCTGCTTCAAAAAGTTGTGAAGATTAAATGATAACATACTTAGTACAGTACCTGCTTTATTATTAACACTTAAATGTTAACTGTCATGATTATGAGTCCAAATTTTAATTCTTATTCTGATTATTAGTCTAGCATATTGAAATTATTATCAAACACATTTTGATATTTCATGACTTTTGGGGTGAATTTACAAGAGTTCTGTTGTAGATAAATTTGTTAGAGATTTTGAAAAAGTTCATTATTTTTTGTGTAAACTTCTAAAGTAACTTTCATTTCACTAGTTAATTCTACAGCTTTTTAAAATATTAACTTTTCAGCTAGGAAAATCCATCTATTCCCTTTCAAAAGAAAAATATCTCATTTTCAAATTTGCACTGAATCACTCCTTGGCATATTAAATTTTATCTGTTTTGCAGATGTGGAGTCTGCTGCTTTTAAATTTGTTTAGTTAAGTGAGATATATACATATATACATAGATACACGCATGTTATTTCAGAGGGTTTGGAAAGAAAAAAATTGATGTAATTGTGTTAAACTTAAAACATCTTGTTGGGAAGCCTGCTTGCACCTGCTAATACCAGGGAGATGTTGGTCCAGAAGGCTAGTGAGCTTGGGCAGCACCCACACGGGGGTTGGTGGAGACAGGTTCCTGTAAGCTTTGTCATACTCACTTTATCCTGTGCTGGCCACTGTAATCTCTTTCCTCTGCCCCCATATCTTCCATCCCCCATCTCTACCCACTATGTTATTTTGTTTTGTCAGAAGGTAGTATTATTACATTACTTTGTAACATAAGTAAAAGTCATCTGTAATCATAGGCCCACCACATTTTTGCCATATGTGATTTATCTTGATATATGTTATAAGAGGAAGTTATTAGTAGCATAGAATTGAGTGCCTTGTTTTATGCCTCAAATAGACTCATTTTGAGTTTCTCTTAAGAACACCAAAATCTAGTTGGAGAATTACAGAATTCTTCCTTCTGTTCTCAGTGACCTCTCCAGAAAAGTTGATTTTCATCAGTGACTTCTTCCTTTTTATTTTGATTGTTTAGAAATATATACTATTACAAACCTCGTATCTTTACTATTTCATTTTCTAGTGTTTTTCTCTCTTGAGTTTCTCCACTTATATGAATAACCATATCTTTCTTCTGCTGGCTCAGTACTTTGTCTGGGCAGCTGTCTTCATTCCTTCTTGGCTCTTTACACTGTAGCCATGGGTAGGCTCTATTACCGGAGAGAGAGCACAGACAGACTTTGGGGTACACTGCTGATGTTGATACACTTTTGCCCCCAAGATTTAGAGTCCTGTGCACACTCCCTGCTTGGGCCTGTGAGGCCTTTCCCAGTCTTGCCCTAGCCTGTTTCCAGTTTCAACTCCAGACATGTATGCACTCCATATCACACACATACCTACACATGTTGAAACTGTCAGATCATTACCATTTCTTCAAGGACTTTGTTCATGGTTTCTCTTCTGCCATAAATTCTCTCCATATCTATTTCACAACCTCTTCTTACCATTTAGGAGTCAAATTATATGTTATGTTCTCTGTGGCTTCTCTTCCTCAGTTCCATTCCTCTTAGCTGGGTTTTGTTGATTCCTATCTGTATTTAAATAGCACATTATGCATGATCACCCTTCATCTGCCATCTCCCATCACTTCCTACGCCTACTTCCACAGCAATCTGACTTGAGCTTCTGCCATTCTAATGAAATTACTCTTGCAAAACTCATCTATGAGCTTATATCCAGTAAGTCCTGTGAAGTGTTTTCAATATATTTTTCCTTTACTATTTCTTTAGAATCTGATACTTTTGATCATACTTTATTTTTAAGCTTTCTCCTTTGGATTTCCTAAGCACTGCCTTCTGTCTCTCTTTACCTTTTTCTCATCTCATATCAAGCTCCTTTTCCTTGTTGTTGTTTATTCTGTAAATATGTTTGTTTGTTTGTTTGTTTATTTATTGGTCTTTTTGAGACAGGGTCTCACTATACAGTTCAGGCTGGCCTTGAGCTCACTTTGTAGCCCAGGCTGGTCTTGAACTCACAAAGATCCACCTGCCTCAGCCTCACAAGTGCTGGGATTACAAGCATGTGCCACCATGCCAGACTCAATTTATTTATTTTTGAGACAGGGTCTTGCTATGTTGTTCATGCAGGCCTTGAACTCAGGTTGGCCTCAAACTCGCAGTGATCTTCCTGCCTCAGCCTACAGGCATGCACCACCACACTCAGCTAATATCTGTTTTATAACGTACTGTCTTTTGCAGTTACTACCATTTTATATCTGTCTGTTTTTTAAGACTGCTAATGGTATTTTTTTCACCCAAGCTCTGTATAACAAAATTCTCTACCTGGGTATCACATAGTTATCTGAATCTTACCATGATATTACCACGTTACCTCTTCTACCAAAATTACTAACTTTTGTCTTATCTTCTATCTTCCACAGCTCTGCCTCCCTGAATAGCAACCCCCCACACAAGCTACCTCAGTTATCCCCGCCCCCCGCCCCCCCATTTCCTTAGCACAGGCTTTTGTCATCTCTCACTTGGATTATTCCGTCTGTAGACTTGACCCCTTTAAGTAGTCTTTCCTACTGCCATTCAGGTGGTATTTTTTTAAAACACAAGTTTGAGTATGTAACTTAAGTCATTACTCTTTGTAGTGTCTGTACTGTCTCTTAGAGAGCTCATAACCTCAGGACATCTCAAGATAGTCTTTATTTTTTTATTTTAAAGATAAAAGAACCAAACATATTAACAAACACACAGACATAAAACAACATAAAAAATAAAAACAGTACAGAATTTCAGACAAGATGATGGGAAATTAACAATGGTTGTTGTATTACATGTTATTATCAAGATAGCCTTTTAATCTGGGTCTTGCCAGTGGCTTATACAGTCTTATTTTCCACTTATACCCACTATACACTTCATCCTTTTGTCAGAGCAAACTTTTTTGTTACTAGAAAAGAATGCTTTTTCAAACCCTCTTATCTTTGTGTGTTTTGCACCATCTTCTTGCCTTTATTCCTCACCCCTTATCTGCATTTAGTCTGTGAATTTTACCTGCAGGATCTCAGCTCTCCAAAAAGTCAGACTCCTGTGGAACCCTTCCCAGATCTTTGCCAACTGGGTACCTCTTTTCTTGGGTGGTTGCTTCATGATGTAATCCCTACCCTCCAACTAGATTATATGTTCTTGAAGAGTAGGTACTTCTGTATCCCCACGTTTCCACCAACGTACCTGGCCTATAGAAAGTATTCATATTTGTTCAATTGTAGCTCTATGACTTGTATTGTTTATAAGACATTTTTACCAGCTAGATGGTGATTTCCATGAAGGCAACCACTATATTTGCCTTTTACAGATATCTCCAGTAGGTGGAATCATGGGACTTACAAGCACTTGTATCTGGCTTTTTAAACTTGGGATAATGTGTTTTAAGGTTCACCTGTGTTGTAGTGAATATTAGGCTGAGTAGTAGTCACTGAAAGATGTATCTAATCCCTAGAACCTGTGACTATTACTTTATTTGGAAAAGTAACACTTCCCAAATGTGTTAAGGATGTTGAGATGAGATCATCCTGAATTATACAGATGGGACTTAAGTCTTACAAGTGACCTTAATGGAGATAACAATGAAAAAGAAACATAGATAGAAAAGCTGTATAAAAATGGAGACGGAGATCAGGGTGTTATATGGTAGGAAGCCAAGGAATGCTTGCAGCCACTGACATTTAAAGAGGTAAGAAGGGCTTCCTACGGCCTCCAGAAGGAGCATGGCCATGCCAACACCTTGATTTTATACTTCTGTCCTCCAGAACTGTGAAAGAATACATTTTGGTTGTTTTAACTGGTCTAGCTTGTGGTTATTTGTGAAGGTAGCCTCAGAAAATATATATGCCGTGTATATAATATATACCATATATCACTACTTTGTACACTTTTTGTTGTCAAATATTATTTCATTGTCTACTACTTCTATATTTTGTTTGCATATTCACTAGTTGATTGACATTTGGGTTTCCAGTTTTGGTTATTGTGAGTAATTCTTTTGGGAATGTACATGTTTAAGTTATTAAGTGGGCATGTGCATTTCAGTTTTCTGGTGTTTTTTTTTTTTTTTTTGGTCTTTTTGAGACAGGGTCTTGCTATGCAGTTCAGGCTGGCCTTGAGCTCACTTTGTAGCCCAGGCTGGTCTTGAACTCACAACAATCCTCCTGCCTCAGTCTCCTGAGTGCTGGGATTATAGGCATGTACCACCACACTTGGCTTCACTTTTCTTGGGTACGTAGTTAGGACTAAAATTGCTGAGTCATGGGTAGATGTATGTTGTAGTCTTATCAGATTTGTATGTTGCAATCCTAGCCCTTCAAGGTGATGATGTCAGGATGGTTTTGTAGATGAACATTATTGTAGACACTTATGAATGATATTAGTGCAGTTTTACATAAGTATCTGAGGTGTAGGGGAGAGATACCCAAGAGGAGCTCCTTGCCCTTCTGCTGTGTGAGGTTATTGTTCAAAGACAGCTGCCTATGAGCCAGGAAGAGGGTTTTACCAGACCTCAGATGTGCTGGCACCTTGATCTTAGATTTTTCGGGCGTCAGAACTGTGAAGAATAAAGTTTTCTTGTTTATAAACCACTCAAGTTATTCTAATTTTGTTGTAACCACCTGAATGGACTAAGACAGTCTATGTTTAATATGTTTATTTTTTAATCGATAAGTATTGTGTATTTATGGTATATAATATAATGTTTTATCTATGTAAACACTGTAGATTAATTCAGGTTAGTTAACATATCCATTACCTCACAAACTTATTTTTGTGTGTTGACAAAATTAAGAGACAATGTTAAAAACTTACTCTTTTAACAATTTTGAAATAACATTATATATTAACTGTGGTTATTATGTGGTGTGATAGATAACTGAACTTTATTTATTTATTTGTTTAT